GAACCTAAATGTTCGGATCCTGTAAGATCCTAGTAGAAAATAGGCAGGAAGTGCGTAGGATTTTGTCCAGGGATGCCTATTCTATTTTTCGAAAAGATAGTCTAGTAAAAACTCTGCCTCTTCTAAGGAAATTTTTTCCATTTCTTTTCATATTAAAATGTGATGTAGTTTGTATAAGCTTTTGCTATTTTTTTCTATCAGACATTTAGTTGTTTAGATAAGAAACAATAACGATCTGGAATAAAGCTGAAGCTTAGGCTTCTGAAACCAGATTTTGAGAAAATTGTATAGGTTATATTAGGTTAAGCTGTTTAGGTCACGAAAAACACTAATAGGTTAGGTTTAGGTTACAAATTTCGTAGATTACATTAGAAATACCCGAAAAGGGAAAGAATGAGCAATCGGTACAAAAACCAATATTATCTTTGTTCCGTTTGGTGAAAACAAAATTTTTAAAAACATTGATTTATTTCATTTTGTCAATAATCATAGACAATCAATTTTGAAGTGTGAACTTGTTCTGTTACAATCATGATGAATACAGTTCAAAATTAGATGAGTGAAAGTACAGATGGAAAAGAACGACACTATGAAGAAAATATTTAATTGGAACAAACATGGCAAGGTCTCGAGAAACTCGTCGAAAAAAAAACTGACATATTCCATTGGTGTATCCACTCTTAATTAATGAAGAATTGATTCATTCTCAAAGTGTCTAAAATAAAACCGGTTAGAAATCAAATCGAACTGCATTCCTATTTCAATCAGAAAAAGTTGAGAGACTTTTGCCACAAACATCAAATTACTATTACTTGCTATTGTTAATTTATCAAATTTGAAAAATAAATAGAATCCTCAGCGAATATAGCGAAAAATAGAAATTCCAAAAACTGTAACACCACAACGATTAATTGAAAACGTGGATGTTTTTGTTTTCGAATTAACAAAAGATGATATCAACAGCATCGATAAATTGGGTGAGAAAAATATAAGATTTGACAATTCACCGTTCAAACGGAGTAGTAAAGAAATTTTCGACTTTTTTAATATGATTATTTAAGCGTTATTGTTATATGCTAATATAAGTTTGAATAAATCAATACTAGAGAACAGAATAATCACATCATTGTTTGTGACGTTATTAACTACAAAACTGCAGCACTATCTGCTTTTCGTGCTCTAGTCTACAAAATTTTCTAGTTCGCATACGTGACTTTTTCTGCGTGTATCTCGATTTCCTTTTGCTCTTCGCGTGGTGTTTCATTTTAGTTTAAAACAATAGCAATAGCGAGCGTAAAACAATGGAAACAAGTTTAAATTATACAAGCAGTGGCATAAATACGGAGAGGCCATAGCCCAATGCGATTTTGAACTTTGTGATTTCCCTAGCTGATAATTTGAAAAATGGGTCTTTTGGGCCAGTTTTTTCTCGAATTATCATAGTGTGATTCAGTCGTTTTTTTCGAACTAATGGAGTTGCCCCAATGGTCAAAAAATTCTAGTTATGCCACTAATACAAGCAATAAATTTTAATAATTTGAAAGAAAAGTTGAGGCAAAGATGTTTCTTGGTTTGATTTCCTAATTAGTTTTTGACAGATTAATATTATAGACTAGGTTAAGTTGTGCTATGAAAACGATTTATTGATCATGCCATGTTGTAAATCAGGAGAAGTTTTATTGCTCAGGCAACAAGGTTTTAAAAATGTTGAAATAAACGCATTGAAATAAATTAGAACACTAAAACAGAATAAATAATCAAACTCTTCAAGATTGTTACAATAAAAGATGGATTTCATTGGATTAGTTTGCAATTCAAATCTTAACTTTGAAAATAATACATACATATTCGATGCTGCTGTATATTATTGTACTTTTCAAGGTCGAACTGTGTGCTGTGCTATTGAACAGCTGATAAAATTCACATACATAAACAAGAATGCATACAGGTAGTAAACAAATATTTTTTAAAAAATTATCGAACCATTGTAATTTGCCAATAAAATGTTGTCAACATTGATATCGTTCTGTCCACTAATTCTTATCTCGTTAACTTTCTGTAAATGTCAGAGCAAAGATTTATAAGCTTTATTATATTATATCATGAGTAAAGACTATTATACATTCGCAATTCTATCAAATATTCGCATTGGTGATAGGGAGTGAATGCTGTAGAGCGTGTTCAATCGGCTGTATCAAAAATAAATGAATTAGCAACAAATTCTTTCACCAACTTGAAATTTGTATTTATCGCTGGTGACATAACAAACACCGCCTTAAAATCACAATTAGTGGTTCAGACTATTTTGAATAATCTGACTGTACAATATTATCCGATAATCGGTAATCATGACCAATGGCCACATAGTTCAACATGGGAAACCGAACAATCAGTTGGCGATCAAATATTTCTTGAAGCATTTAAAGCGATATTAACAAGTTCGAATATAATTGGTTATCCAAATGGTACAGTCTATGATCCAAAAGAAAAGCGTCAATCCTGATTTCAAAATTATCGAATACAAATTGGCAATACCGTAAGTCATGTCACATGATATTGATCTTACACGTATAAATTATTATATGTTTCTGTGTATTTTTGTCTTTGTCTAGGTTTATATAGCAAGTGATTGGAACAGTCGACATGCTGTCATTAGTCAACTTGGATAAAAGAGTAGTATGCCTGGTGCTGAACTTCACGATTTTACAGGTAGAACACTCCCTTGGTTTGACACACAATTATCGAAACTTCTGATCAATCACAGAAGGCAAATGTAACATTACGCATCGTATTACTCCAACATCAACCATTTTGTTTGCCATGGTACATTTCACGTGAAATCTATGCATTTGCTCCCATTGAAAAAATAACAGTTAAACGTGTACTGAATAAGTATAAAAACTTACATTATTGAGGTGTATTTTACGGTCAGTTTCATATGTAGTCAAATGAGACAGCATTTGAAGATGATCTCAGATTTATACAATGGGAAACAGATGTTTGCAAAGTTGCACAAGCATTTTCTCCTATAACTGTTAACAATAATGGCGATATTATTAACATTGAGAAGATGTATGGAGATCTTCCTTTGGAAAAGATCAAAATACTTTCAGAAAAGATCTTTTATTACGACTAAGTAGACAAAACAACAACGTTCATAAGGACGTTTGATTGACGAGGTATAAAATTGAAAAGCAAGAGAAAAAACAAATATCATATAAATAAAATGGTTTAAAATTTGTAAAAAAGAAAAAATTAGACATTCCGTATCTAATCTATCGGGAAGAATATGAAATAATGACACTCGCAGATTACTTTTATATCTTTGACTACCTGAGAATAGCTTAGCATTCGAAAGAAGCTAATGAATAGTACTTTATGCTAATCAGCTCCTAGGCTGAAAGGAAAAAATATGCAGACATTTTTCTTTATAGCATATTGTCAACATCTTGCTAATACTTCACCATTTCGTATGTACAAACATATTCGTTTATCAATAGGTAACGATACTGGTAATGATATTTTTCTTGTTCTTGGTAGTTTTTGATGATATAAATTTTCTCCGCTGCTGTCATTGTACCGTTGTTGTTTTTGAATTTGACGATCTGGATAATAAAAATGCATCGTTGCGTTGGCTGCTAATAGACTATCAGCTGTAGAATAATGTTGTTGATAATGTTTATTGATATTTGAAAAATAAATGTGTTCATTAGCCGGATCTAATGACTCAATTGAAGCTGTAGTTTTGATATAATTTAAATCATCATTATTTTTATTTTTTTGTTGTTTTAATAAACGATCAGCTTGTATACGAATATTTAATTTTGTATTAAATGGTAGACTGGCAGCAAGTGAAATTCGTTCACCAGTTAATTTTGCCTCGGAGAAATATTTTGTTTCATTATTTCGTTTATTTCGAATATTTGTGATATGTTGACTGGATGAACGTCTTGGTTTTTGTATAAAATCATTATTCTCATTCCAATGACTATTTTGCTGCTCTGGAATAGAATCATACATATATGACATTGTTGACGATGTGGATGATAATGATGAGGTAGGAGATGGTGTACAAAATGAAAAATGAATCCAGTTAAACTGTTGTTGTTCTTGTTGTTGTATTAGTGGAAGAACAATTTCTGTATGATATTGAATGGGATTTAAATAAACTGAAACATAACGTTTATCTAATGAAGATATTTGATCATTTGAAATAGATAATTGTACAAAAACAATTGTTGAGCGAACAGTAGATGATGACGATGACGAATGTTCAATTAAATCTGGTTTATTCGTTGTTTCACCAATTTCTGTCTGTAGTTTCTCGTTGATAACTATTTGCTCGTCAATCTGTTTTTCTAAAGATAATGAATCATCGTATTTAAAATAATTATCGATGTATCTGAATGGATAATAGTTGTCGCTATTGTCGTCGTCGTCTAATACATAACGATGACCAAAAAAATCTAAACCATGTAATTTTGTTTGTATATCGTTGAAACGCTCTCTAAAATTTAACAAAAACTAAAAGACATTGTTATTTTTTTTATTAATGCTTATTTAGCTATCAGACAGTTACATCATCAAATTTTACAAATTTTTAATTTTTATATAAAAAAATAACTTTTAATTTTCACATAAAGAAATCGTTAATTCTCACATAGCACTCAAAATACTCTCAATTGATATTTAAACAAGTTCCATTCTCTTTTTTGTCATGCATGATACTAGAAAATTCTTTTTAAACTCTAATAAGAATCGTACAAGTGATGAAATAAACGTCTCAAATACATTATTATATAAAAAACTAGATATCAATAAATAAATATAACATGTCTAGTGTGAAGTCAAATATTTACGGTTGTTTTCTCCTGACTAGTAATAAATAGCAAGTTTTTTTATTCTTTTTCTATCTTTTGTTCTGATCACATCATGTAAATATTTTTCTCTCTGTATGTATAGACGCTGATATTTATAAGATTTGTTATTTAACGATTTTTTAATACAGCCGTATATAACGGACTTACTCGTTAAATACGTAGTTATTTTCAATATTTATCATCATTTCATCGCTGTAAATAATAGTTTAAAACGAAAATGTACACAAAAATTGAAAAAATTGTTTTGTTAACTTTTATTTCAAACATGTTTTTTTACTATCCTTTGAAATTAATTGGAATACTATACGGTCGATTCCATTAATCAATTTCATTTTCAAGTCTTATCTTCTTTGTTTTTTCTTTCGTTATACATGTACACATGTTTGAACGAAATTTTTGTACACATTGTTATTTTTAAAATATAATATACTCATAAACACGATTAATCATACTATAGACAGACTCAAATGTAACAAGTAAAATGTATGCCGATCATATAAAATATACATACAGAACTTTATAAAGAAAATCAATGTGATCTAAGAATAAAGCCTGTATTAAATTGTACGGTAAAGAGCGAGCGAAAGAAAGATATGAGATGAAAATCATTGCAGAACGGTATATACTTGAGAAGGTGTAAAAATCGTTGTATCGATGACAATCAGTTCTCATCTGGTGTCTATAATCACAAAGTCATTTTATCAGATACAAATTTTGATATTGTTCAGATAAAATTATTAAATTATACAATAAAAAAACTTCTTACTTACAAATTAGTTGAATCTCTGTTGATTTTACGAACAATATTGAGACGTTCAATTAGAAACATGTTTTTTTTCTAGCATTCACTTACTTAATGGCATCATCTTTTCGTTTTAATTCATCATATCTCAAATATGAATGAAATAATCGAGTTAATATGGTTTCTTTTAACGATTGATCAATAATTGAAGCCATATTTTATACACACGTACAAAGAGTAAATAACAATTCAATAAATAAATACGGTATTAGTTATACTGTTGAACAAATATAGTTATTATGCTCTTTCTCTTTTATACTCAAATATATATTGTTCAAATGAAAGCAAGCACATACTCTTTTATTGTATAGGATGAATGAAAAAAACGGCAAATTGTACATTTTTTTTTTTATCTCTTGTACATATAACTCGATTTTAACTGTATTGAGTAAAGTCTAAAGCGAATAATATCGATGAATAAAGTTATAGCAGAAAACTAATACGTGTTCAAGTACAAGGAAAGAAAAAAAAAAAGAAAGAGAAAAGATAAGCAAATTTACATACATATAACTGTTCATAAATTCTAAGGCCATTTTAAATACAATGATAACGATAGTTTGATGAAAAACGTCCTCTTTTCCGTTTCTGACATCAAAGAGTTAAAAATCATTCTAATTTATAAAAATCTGAGATCAATGTAATCAAAAAGGATAGGAGCGATAAATGTACTTTTCAAAAGTACCCACTTTGGCTTGGAATTCTAAATTAAGTTACAGTCATCTGAAATACGCTTTCACTACTGCAAATATTGTACTAGAAGAGGAAATTAGTTGAGAAAAGTTGAGAGAGTTAGTACAGTTGTACCGATTTATCGTCTTTCAAAGAGACATATCATATTCTTTGCATGCTGAACAGAGAAAATACTATCAATAAAATAAACAGTATAAAAGAAAACAATGTTGTTAAACTAAACTTAATTCTTTTTATCCAAAAAAAACTGGACATCATCGAGTATTATGTACTGTTAGATCAGAGTAGAGAAAATATTCTATTAGTGTTATAATTATAAAGTTTTCATCTGTATAACAGGTTAAGATCTTCGCAATTTCGATGACCGAAACACCCTTGATACAAAGAAGTCGGTGTATATCACGAGTAGTCTACCTCGAAAAAGATATTGACTCAAATCTGTATTATTGATCTCATCAAAGATATACAAATATAAATGACCCTTTACTTCTAATGTGATAAGATAGTAAGAAAGTACAATAAAATGAAACGAGCGCATACATTGCAATTATTAAGAAAAAAACAGTTTTTTCATCACATTGAATAGTTAACTTCGAATATAGGAAAACTCAATTACAGTTCTCTTTTTTACAGCTGATCTTGCACGATATTAATGAAATAATCAATATAGTATCACTTTAAAAAGAAATTTTTTGTTAAATTTCAATCAAGCTCAATTTGTACAGGAAAGATGCAGAGGTATAGGAGTAAGTGCAGTACTTATTCACAGTAAATGCCTAGAAGCCACAGAAAAAACATTGAATGCTTAGAGAATTAGTTGCGGTGTGTTGATGACCAATTTATACTTGCTATCGATTTTATTTTATACTCTATTTGAAAATCGCGTTCATCATTCGCCTTTTTCAATAGAAAACATCAAATATAGGATATAGATAGCTACTAAAAAGAGATGAAATGAAAAAAATAAAATAGATGTCAATAAAGAAGTTAAAAGAAATCGCTTAACGATTGTATAACTTAATAATCGAAAGCCTTTGTACAGGCATACTTATGTACATTTATATAATATACTCTATGTCTTTTGTCAGAAAGAAGTAGTACGCTTTGCACATAAAGTAGTACATTCTTGCTTTAGAAGCAATTATCTTATATCTAGGTAAAAAGCATACAAAAATTCAATAATTTTAACGTATATGCTCGAACTTGGATAACAGTTTAAATCCCTAAAGACGCTTACTAACTTTCACTAAGGCCTAAGATAAGGCCGTCGCCTTTCAAAACAAAATGCGCGAGCCTGCCATTCCAAAAATCCTTACAGTGAAGTACTACTCTAAAAGCATACAGATATAGTGAACAGATGTCACTCTACAATCTGACACAAGTCTCAACTCACCACCTACCGTGGTGCTGGTGCTACAGGCAATCTCCAAGGACCTATCTGTCGGTTAAATCTGGTATCTGAGAAGTTCAAAAGTGCATGGTACATAGGTTTTCAGACACGCGGATTACTGTAGCAATGTTCATTTTGTTACCAAAAAAAAAGGAGTTCGAAAGATGACGTTTTTTGAAAAGCTCGATTTTACCTATGACAGTGCTGCAATAAAAAACACATAGAATCTTTATTTCTTACACAAAAAATACTTCAGATCTTCATAATGCATTTATTTTGATGCGCTGCACGTGTCTAAATTCTAAAAAGCTCCTTTTGCAGAAGATATTGACTAAGGATTTCTAGGAGTTTTCTAGAAAAACTTTCCTTTTCCAGACTAGCGCAATTTTTGTGTTTTCTAATGCGCAGTTTGATGATATACCTCAAATCAAACTAATTCTGAAAGTTTGAAGTATTTTGTGTAAGAAATGAAGATTCTGTGTTTTTTATTGCAGCAATAAAAAACACATAGTATAAGTTCTATATCTCCATGCTTTTAGAGCAGTACTTCACTATAAGAATTTTTCAAATGGCAGGCTCGCACATTTTGTAGTGGTACACCATGGTAGAATTGTTGGAAGGGACTTATTTAAGCATAGACTTATGTCCTTGGATGTCCTCTTTCGTAATCTGAAAACCGGAGGACTTGAATTCAAACAACTTCTTGAACTGTCTCCTAATAGACGTTTAAGAAATGGTTGACGGTCTACAATCTGTAGTTTCCTTAGAGAAGTATGCGTTGAAGAATTAAAAAAGAAATTAAACATACTAAAAAGCATATTAATTCAACAACAAAATGTTACTGGGATAAAAAGCCTCTTGATCTCGCAATGAGAAAAAAAACCACAAGTAACACGTTTACAAACGTCAAAATAAAATACTGATAAAACTATTACTCCCAGAGATCTTATAATCTATCTTTCAAATACATTGTATATTTAACACTTTTTGATGAAGTAAGAACTAGTAGCAGCTCCCATTCTTTTGAAAAGAGCAAAGGATCAATTCACGTTCAAAAGTACTGAACTGGAACTATTCAGTTGTCCATCCCTAGTCAAGAAAAATTCTACTTTTCTAATCTATATGCTAATATTCATAAGTGATTAATTACCTTAGGTAAACTCTCGTTTATTGAAAAATAGACGGAGAATTTTAACTTTTGCTCGATTGTGCTTTCATTACATCAATTCATATTTTTAAAACAACAAGTTTTTTTTTTTACTATTATTATAAAAAAATCTGTCTTGACTTTATACACTTAAAATACTATTTTTCTTGTTCTCAAACAAATAAATTTGTTATCCGCTCTTGTTGTCTTAAATGTTTCTATTTAAAAAAATGCATGAATGCCACTTGATTTCTAAATGCAGAGCAAACAGACGAAAAAAAAAGAGAAGTATCGAATGCACATATTGAAAGACAATTTTTTTTTTCTTTTTTTATCGACTCACCGATCTACACATACACTTATACACGGATAAAGGAAAAACAGGTTTGCTTGGTTGCTTGCTCGATTTTAAAAAATAAAATGTAGGAAGAGAGGAAGTTGAGAATTATTCTCTTCATCGCTTGTATCACGCGTAATTTTGGTTTTTGTTCTTTTGGCTAGTGACAAGTCGCCTATTGCATTGTTGACATATTTTCTTTTCCGTAAAAGTTTCGATCACTACTCTCCGTATTTCCACTATTCTGAAGATTTTGCTTTTTTTCTTGTTTGAAAGTGCAAACAAATTTGCATCAAAAATGTTGTTCTCTCTCAAAATTTTATTGAAAAAAAAATTTGAAAACTAAACATCACTAAGAATGATGTTTTATTGTTTAATTGATTTAGTTTTCTTGAAGAAATAATTATTTGGCTGACCATAATTAGAAAATTAATTAGCTAGCATTAATTACAAATTCTAGAATTAATTGATGAATTTTTTTCTAATTTTTGAATTGAATCTTGCTCTAGGTTCAATTTTCTGCAAAATGATATAGAAAAAATTCTGTTCTAATTTATTTCTTGCTTCTTGTGACGCATTTGTTGAAAGTGTCTATGCAAAATCTTGATTTTTAGAAAAATTGACTTTTAGAAAACGTTTCAGAAAATCACGAAATAATAATTTAACAAATTTTAGAGTAGATTAAGTCCATTGAATTTTTCTCAGACTAACTTCTATTCTTAGTTCAAAGAAGAAATGATTATTTTGAAATTAGTAAAAAGGTTTTTCTAATATCTTTTTGTAAAATGGAAAAGTAGTGTTCAATATTTTGTACAAAAACTTTTACATCACTTGGCTACATAATCAATCAGGTTTAATTCGCTAAGTAGACACTTACAGATAAATATTTTGATCATAAAATCCGTCAACACAATGTATGATCTGTTTTCTTTTTTTATGGCTTACACATTCAACAGAACAACCGTTGAGAATATTAAAAAAACAACAACAAGAAATTATTATATACTCATTCTTCTTTTAAAATTAGTTTTTTCTGATTTGGTTTTAGATACTGGTACAAACGGATGAAAAATCGCTATATTGATGCTCATTGTTAGCAGACGACAAGAATTGAACTGTCTACATATTAAATTTTAATTATTACACTGCTTAGCTGATAAAAAATCGAATGATCTTGTTCCAATAGAATATGTTAGGCTGTAGTTGGCATGTAATTTTTCTAAAGTAAAATAAAAAACTAAAAACATCTAAAACTTTATTACAGAGATGGACGAGTACACATTTTTTCGAGTATGAGTATGAGTAAGACAATTTAGTGGCGGGTGCGAGTATAAGTATGAGTACAAAACTGTTTTACTCGATTACAAATTTTTAAAAAAAACAGGATTATCGTCGGAAAACTTTTCGTGTAATGATAGTATATCGGTCAGTCTCTTCTGAGTTTAGTTAAACAGGTTTTCACCCGAGTACTCGACTACTTTTTGAGTACACATTAAAAAAAAAGTCGCGAGTACGAGTATCTAAAAATTTGTACTCGAGTACAAGTATTACTCGTACACGCCCATCTCTGCTTTATTAAGAACCTCTCCTG